CCGCTCATAATCGTTTTTCTTATACAATGGTATTATATCGTTGAATTCAAATTTAATATCATCCATTATACAGTGACCCACTTGTAACCTACTGTACAGCAGAGCGACACCCACTTGCCCACCTTTTTATACTCTTATTATATACACTAAAATAAGAAATTTTATTTTTAGATAATTTTCTTAATTTTTAGGGCATTTTAGAGTTGTTGGAAACAAACTTTTAAATTTTAAGATTCTTATTTCTTGTACACCAACATGATTTTTACATAAATATAACAGATTATAAAGTAGGTATCTACTTGGCTACTCTTAATTCGTATTATATTATCAGAAAATTATAGTTGAAATATCAAAACCTAGATAACGAGTCTAGGTAATGCGTGATGTCTACAGTAAAAATCGATGAGATCTAACTATCTGTATAATTATTTTTTTTTTAATTTATACTTATTTAAAATAACAAAAATTCACTTAAAATATATTTTTTAAATAAAAAATTGTGTTTTTAATATATTTAAAGTAATTTGTATAATGCATTATACTATTATATATTTATATTATAGTTACTATTATAATATGTATTAGGCCCAAAAAGTCTTTCTATAGTCATTTTGCATTTTTTAAGGACGTTTTTTGAGATTTTTTAGGGGGTTAAAATCCCAGCCATAGTAATGAATAATTAAATGATACAATAATATGATAAATATAAATATAACAATAGTACAATACTAATGATACAATTAAATAATTTTTAAGTTCAAAAATGATATAAGATTTTTCTGTTTTATTTAGTTATATAATATATAACTATTAAAGTTACTGACCTTATTGAGTATATTTTGTATTATAGGTTATTTAGTTTTTCATAGATTTAGGTAATTAACATTGGTAAGTTACGATGGACAGCTGATATTATATCCTTTTCGCTTTTTCGCTTTTTAATCTATAACTACTTGAAGTTTTTTTTTTTTTTCATTCACACTTTTTGTGATTGCACGGAGGTCGTCAATTGTTTCTACTGTAATTTTTATTATATTTTTCTGTTGTACTAAAGTCAGTATGTAATATGGATGAGATTTCTGTGTAATTTGTTAAATTTATTAAAAATATAAGAGTACATTTTTTATTGCTAATTTCTTTTTCCATGGGTTGCTGTTGATTGGTAGGTTGAGTTTGTTTTTGATTTATTTGTGAATTTTTAATGGGAGGGAAGTGGTTTGCCTAATAGTTTTTCTTGGTGATCTAAATTCTGTATCTGAGTTTGGAGGAGGTGATTGGGAGTTATGTTCTGAGTTAAATCTGATTTTTTAATATTGAGTGGAGGGACGACCTTGCGATCTTTAGTTCAGTTTTACCGAGTAAAGTATTACTAGTATAAAGTAGTTTTTTAGTATTTGATGATGAGCTCATTATAAATTGTTCGTGTAAAATGCGTTAGACGGGCTTATCGACCGGGCGTAGGCAGTAGTTTTATCACGATATTGTTAATTGAGGTTTGCACTTTGGGTCATAATATTATAATGATGTTATACGTAACCAGAGATAAACATGATAGTACTGTAGTAGTCTCTGTTTACTACTATCGAGAGCTACAAAACCTATGCTCGGAATTTACGGCCTTACGGGCCTATCTCCTATGTAATTAAAACAACCCACACAAATAAAAATGTGATTTTCCATTTGCTCTACATCTAAAGACTAATTTTGGTTATTTGCGCAGCATAAAACTAGATACAAGGGCATCATGTAATTAGGGCAATCTCGTGACAACAAAAATTGTAATTTGAGCCAATTTAAAATAATTAATTTTCTTTTTTTTATCTTATTATTTATATTATGTATTTTATTCATCAACCGAGTTCATTTTAATAGACACATTATTAATATTAATACAAATATTAAAATATGCATAAAGTAAAATAAAAATTAAAAAGGTATAATCTTATAACGAATTGTAATTCTAGGTATACTTATACTTTATGTATGAAATATGAGTACTATTTCACTATTTCAGTTAATAAAATATGTAAAAATCGGGAATATTATATCAATTTATATAACCAATACAACTCATTGTCCAAATGTTCATGTTATTAATAACCCACGTTATTTATTCACGCGTTATGTGCTATAACTGATGTGAGCCCTGTAAATGTATTCCAACGATTAAAATCCTTGCACATATCGTGTCATTTCGTTTTCTGATGCCGATTACCAAAATTAATATTTAGATGTGGCGCAAATTACATGTTGTTTTTTTATTTTGACGCTAATTGGGCTGATTACAGTATATCATACGCACTTAAATGTATTTATTGGTGGCGTAAATTAAAATACTAAAATTGGTATTTACTCTTGAATTTACTTGTGGTATCTACAGTGTCCAGGCACGTAACAAAATAGAAATTTGACATTACACCCTAACCCTCGTGGGCCCACATTATATGACGCCTATTGAGCAGTATAGACTTTTATAGAAATATTAAAATAGTTTGAACGGTGAAATTGAAGACTTGCAACCAATGGTTAAGTCGAGATATAAACCCGAAAGTATCTTGGATTTAACTCACTTATTTGTACTTGGTTAAGTACCGGCTTATACGAATGTTAAGATGGTAGGAGACCCTCTTTGACCAAAATCGTACCTTTCCCTTTTCGGCCAAACCACAAAGTTTAATATTTATTTTACTATTTAAACATTTCTAAATGCATTATAATCTATATTATTATAAATTGTTGTCGTTGATTATTAAATTAATAAGAATTGGACACATAAATTGAAACAATTTATACAACTTATATTTTTAATAATTTTCCATAGTATGAATAAATTATTGTATAAAACAAAGTAGATACCTGCTTACATATAAATATGGACAAAATATGAGCATGTTTATAATAGCTGTAGAAGATACTGATTAGTGATTACATAATTATTGGCAAACAGTATGTATTATTATTATTATTAATTTATATGTAACATTTTTACCTATATTGGTACATTTTATACAACTTATATTTTTAATAATTTTCGATATTTATAACAGGAAATAGATATTAAACTTTTAGGTTTGGTCGAAAAGTGAATTGGCCAAAAAGGTAAGGGTACAATTTTGGTCGAAAACAGCCATGTCCATTATGATGAGGCAATTTTATGCGGGTCATACTGGTTTGCAGACCGGAATCAACCTAAAGTGGTCTGCAATCTATACTTGTTGGTGTGAAGAGTGCACATCATACTCAAACGGTATAATAAGTTGTTTGGTAGTGTCATAAGCCGTGATGAAGAAAAACCCGATTATAGCAAACCAGCTTTTTTGAATATTTTGACGAATAAAAATAAAAATTGGAACGAGTTCTGTTTGACTTTGATGAGTTAAATATTTAACTTTGCGTACTACAGATGTCGGATAATGACATGGTAAGTAATGCGTTTGGAAGATATGGTAACATTGGGAACTATGCTGGTTTGTAAATTTTAGTTAATAAAATTAATTTGTAAAAATGTTCAAAGTATGTAATAATTATTATATTCAATATTATAATACAATATATTTTACATTTCTATAAAACCATTAGGCCTGGGGCCTATTTAGAGTTTCAGACTAGTTTTCTATGCCTCTATCTGTGGTTTGTTTGGTTTTTTGTGATTCCGCTGTTTTCTTCTGATTTTATTTCAGTTATGTTTTGATGGTAGTTTCAAAGTTTGGAGGTGTGGGAATTTAGAAATGTTTGCTCGGAAAAGGAATGCTTCGGCTGCGTGTTTGGTTGTCTCTTGGATTTTTGTCATGTTCGTGGAGTTGAGGAGAGCTGAGTTACGAGTGAGATAGTGTGCACCGGTGATAGATAGTATATACTTTATATTTTATATACCTTTAATTCTTAGCATAAACATTTTAATAAATGAACAACTACTCGTTCAGATTTTGAATTCGGTACATAAATATTAAACAAAATATTATCCTCTGAATAATGTACGGTAAAAAAGGGCGGTCCTCATTAATGATTTATCGAATTTTGTAGGTTAAATCTAGTAGTTACAAAAAATATCAATAACTCGAAAATAATAATATGGTGTCTATAAGTGTGTTTAAAAATTAAAAATATCAAAACATGAAAAATGTCATTATTATAAAGGAAACAATGAGCGCGAGTATGCTTGGTAATTTTTACATTGTATATTTGAAACAGCACATCTCGCGTGTAATATTATAATGTCGAGTGGTTTATTTCGCGTTGCGCACATTTCAATAAAATATAAGTGTGGCGATCCAGAATTTCATATTATAATCGCCGGGCGGTGCAAACACTGTGCAAACGCAGCAAACATTAAATTGTACGGTCGCAGTGAACACAGCGAGACGAATCGCTTATTGTCCAATATCATTATACTAATATAATGTCATTGTGTTTGTGTGTGTGTGTCTGAACGTCGTACAGTATAGACCGAAACACACTATGCCCGTCGTCGTCTGTTACAATATTATAGGTATACGTTGTAAATGTTGTAAAGGTATATATTATGTACAACTACCACAATAATATTTTAGCGGTGCGTTGATAAATATTATACGAAATAATTATCACGAATAAGCTACTTATGTGTAGCGATATGCGCCTGAAAAAATAATCTTACGCGTGTGATCCATAATAATAATAATAATAATAATAATATGTAAATATATATATATATCAATATTATGTTTGAATACAATTCAAGCGTATACATATAAAGTCTATACCTCTGACCAGAGCCGGAGCAAACCTGTTTCACGTTGCGCACTCGTCGCCGGACCGCCGTCGGCTGCAGAGGTTCGAATAATATTATTATTGCCTTGCAGCGCGCTGCAGTAGTGCAGTTAGTGTCTGTGACCAGAGGTGCAACCAGCACTATACGTCCTGCGGCGGCGTTGACACAATATTTTCGGCGATTTTCGTACCACCGTCTTCGGGAAACCATTCCAGGAAAATCAACTTGGAATTATTTATAGTCTCACACGATGGTGGACATCGACAATTGTGTGGTGTCGGTGGGCATGGGCCGGTACCAGTTCGTGGGCTGCACGCTGTTCGGCCTGATGATCATGTATTCGAACGTGTCGCCGGTCACCTACGTCTTCACAGCCAGCGATTTGAAATACAGGTAAACGCGTGGCAAACACTATACAATATCGATCACTATGTGTGCATACCGTTCCGTCTGACACTGAGCTCGCATTAGATACGGTTCCTTTGATAATATGCATTTTTAGTGCACTACCATGAACCGTCTAATCAGATCAGACTATAATACTATACGGATTATTATTAGAACCGCGAAGAGTCGTCCGCAGAACTGTAGTTTTTTTGAACTAAACTAACGAAACGAAATGATACTCCTCAGTGGAGCAAATGCGCAATTTCAATGAAAATACTGAGAGTGCTTCAGCATTATTAAAACTATATTTAACTATACCTATTTTAAACTCCAAGCGATGCGATGAATGTAATTGGTCTTACAATGAGTTCTTTTATTTTTGTTCATCTGTCAACAGCTTTATGGAGCAGTAAAAATCGTCGAGGCTGGTAGAAAATTGGATCTAGGTGGTACTTTGGGGTAGGGGGTCGAATGTAAAAATTCCCAGTAATTTGCATAATATTCGGCAAAATGACAAAAAACTTAAATATTCACTGTTTAAAAAATCAATCTCCCATTACTTACGTTATAATTTTCCATACACGAAGACATTTTTAAAATATTCAAACTAATTTTAACAGAAATTTTAAACTATTTACGGGTGTTTGAAATTGATAAATTGCTGAAGTTTTATTTTTATAAGTACGAATAAGAATATTTATGCTTTGTCAAAAAACTTGAAAATTTATAACAATCTGCCTTATAAGTTATAAGTTAAACTTATAAAAAATTAAAAGTATTGAAAATATATTGGCAACATTTTTTATAGGTACTTGTTTGAAGTTTATATTTTTCAAAACTCATATTTTTACATTATTATGGAAACGCCAAAACGGAGGATCAATGAACCTTACTATCGTGTTGATAATGTCAACAATACTGTTTTACATCTAAATTTACTATAGTATTATAATTATAATATTATAGTTACTGCCGATTTTATCTCATAAGAAAAAGTATGACGTAGGTTACATCATGTTTTAATTTTATATAATTTATTAGTTTTCACTACAATTATTGTACCGTACGGAGTAGCCATTATGTTGATCCTTGATATTCTATTTAAATAACATTAATCACTTATATTTTATTGTAGGTTTAACAATTAACTATCACATTTAGAATCAAAATAATTATTTTAAATCTATATAATATGAGGACTTATATCATACACTTAATATGAAATTAAAAAAAAAAATACAGATAACTTATGTTTTACAGAGTAAGCGAACAATAATTTCTATAATTACTAGGTAATCATTAATGTTATACATTTATAGTATTTGTATAAGTAAATATTGTACATTCATAAGCTATGTTAGAATAAATATTTTATTTACTGAAAGTAAACTATGAAATAAAATAAATTTTTTTTTTTAAATTTATGGATTATATAAAAATATTTTACGAATTTTCTTTCGCTCTCCTGAAATTTTAGATTCTGAGCCGAGCGATGAATTTATTGATTTACAATGATGTGTGTCTTTTTAAAAAAAATTTTTTTGTGTCTGTCATCACCTCTTAGGTCAGTAAAAGTGCTTAGATTTTCTTCAACAGTATCTTTTCTAATTGGAAATTGAACATAGTTTGTACTTTGCTCAAAATTTAAAATTCCCAGTTTTTTTCAAAAGCGCCGTAAAACACAAAATAAAAGTTAAGGAAAAACGGGAATATTTAGACAAAATCAATTTTGGTTTTTGGTGTATCACTGAAACTAATGACCGTATATACATGCAATTTTCCCTATTCGTTTCTATACTTACACGATAAAATGTTAAAAATAATTTGATTTGTTTTGAACTGTTTACTGACATTTTCAGTTTCCAATTTTATTAGTTTTTTTTTTTATGAATGTCAATCAAACTTTATTTGTTGGGTAAAAAAGCTTGAAAATGTAATACAAGGATGTTTGAAAAATATTAAAAATCCACTCACAATTTTTTTATAAGTATAAAGATCAAATCTTGACAAAATACGTAAAAACGACGAAAATGTGTAAATTATTTTGTGTTAGAAATTCATAAAAATGTTTCTAAATCTAAGATTTTAAAATTTAATACAAGATTCCTCATAAGTTTGTCTACCTTTTCTTAAAAAAAGGCTACTGGAATGTAAAATTACATTTTTATGAGCACTCCAAGTTCATATTTTTAGAATATTGGATATTCAATCGATTTCTTATGTACCGATTTTCTTATTTTGTTGTAATTCAAAAAAGAATAACCTTGATACTTGAAATTTACTTCATGTAAATTGTATCAATTTCTATACTTATTTTCAAAACATTTTGACTCTTTTAGAGCTGCTCGCTAACATTTTCAATTTTCAATTTTTTCAATATTTTTTCTATAATTCTCAATAAAATGTTATTTGTTGGGTCAGAAAGTTTGAAAATATAATACAAGGATCCTGATATATTGTTTAAATAGTAGTTTAAATATATTAAATATACATAGGCAAAGTTTTTTTTTATAACCATTTAAAGTTCAAATTTTGACAAAATGTATCAAATTTAAAATTTAATAATTTTTTTGTAGTTAAAAATGTATAAAATGTTCAACTTTTATAGCTAAGATTTTAAAATTTAAAACAAGGTTCCACGAAAATAGTTCATTTATAAATTACTGTATTCACTATAATATCATCAAATATACTTAGTAATATAGGCTGACTGACCGTCTTCGCTCAGAATCGTTTTTCTTATACAATGATATTATATAATTGAATTCAAATTTAACACCATCCATTACAGTGACCCACTTGTAACCTACTGTACAGTAGAGCGATACCCACTTGCCCACCTTTTTTACAGTTGACTCTTCCAACTTTTTGGAGTTTAAATCTCGTATCTCGTGGACTTCAAAATTAAATTGTTAAGAATTGTCAACAATTAAATTACCTAAGTCGTATTTAATTGTTTAATGATTCGTAGAGATTTCAATGCGATACAAATATTTAAATTAAATATTATTTAACCAAGGATATTTTATTTCTGTGTGGAATAATATGAAATAAATCAAGTTGTGCTTACACTTTTCTTATGCATTTTATCGTTTCAACAATTATTATCAAATTGCATTATCTGTTTGGAAGAAGGACTACATCTGACCGTAGAATAATTTATATATTATGTTGGTACATATTGTATCTATAATGGTATTCGTATTTTCATAACGTGTATGATAATATTTTTTAGAAACCAATTTTTAGAAAAATTCAAGTTTAAACCTCTAGTTAGATGTTTATAAAGGTAGTTTTTATGTGTTCTGTGATAGTGTATCTTGAAAAAACCGATAGTGATTTTTGGTGGTATGTATTTTTCTTACTTCAGATGTAGCGGAGAGAAGCGTTTATCGGTATACATTTTTTTTAAATTTCTACCCGAAAATATTAAAACGATAGCATATAAAAATTAACCTTGATAATGACATGTAGGTATAATGTTAAAAAAAAGCGAAATATTTAAGCATCTATTTTTATTTTATATGAGAAGTGGCATAGATTATAAGGTAGGTGGTATACCATTACAAAAAATGCATTATGACACATTTCTTCGTGTAAGTAGATAGATAAGACGAAAAAAATTAATCAACCGTTGAATAAAAACTGATTGTCGTATGTATATTTAAAAAATATAATAACCGCTATAATACATCACTGTGAGCAATATCTATATGGGATAATTGACGGGAATCGCGACAATCGGCCATCGTATGAAATAAATAAAATTAACTGAAAATTATAATTAATTATCAAATTAATATAGGGTGCTTAAACACCAAGAAGAACGTATGGGGCACTGCAGCTGTTACTCGTCTGAACTTTTAATGCTCGTATCAGATATTCGATATTTGCAATACATCGACGTTAAGGGGATTCGACACCTTGATTTTCAGTTTTTGTCTGACACACTCGTGACATACTATTTTAGACGTGTTTTTTGCCAAACATTCCAATTGATCTATTGAAGCGATAAGAATTCTGAAAACAGATTTGAATTTGTCGTCAAGTCTACTTGAAATTGACTTTCCCACATGTTTCATATTATCCCCCAAATTCCTAAAAATGTCATATTAAAAAAGAATATTTAATAATCGTCGTATTTTAATTTTTGGAGAAGTTAAAATCAAAAAATCAAAAATGTGGGAAAATAGACTTCAAGTAGACTTGACGACAAATTCAAATCTGTTTTTAGAATTCTTATCGGTTCATTAGATCAATTGGTATGTTTGGCAAAGAACCAGTCTAAAATCCCATGTCGCGTGTGTGTTAGACAAAAACAGAAAATCAAGGTATTGAATCCCCTTAAGAAAAGTATTGTGGTGGAATAAAATAATACAATGTATTAAATCAAATATAGCAAGGAAGTGGTGGTTAGAATCCCAGATGTGCAGTGAGAATGTCATTTGAAAAGCGTCGATTTGGGAGGTCGTTCAACTATATCATATTATCATTAAGTAAAATACGAGGGAACAACTTACATGTGTGCAGTGTTTTATAATTATAATATGAATACCGCAGTGGGAGGCTGAAGTGCAACATGAAAACCGGAGAAATTAACACGATGTGTAGGTAGGTGTTCTGTATATAATAAATGTATAGTGTCATAGTGAACCAGTATTAATAAACTGTAGTCTGAAGTTTACTTAATGTCTAATAATTGAATAGACGATTTAAATGATATTATTTAAACTTAAATATTTTAATTAATACTAATTAGGCTTTACGACATTACCGAGTTACCCGCCAGGGGCCGGATTGACATTCGAATCAACCTTAATATTAAGAATATAGGCTCCGTCGTCTATATGAGAAATTCAGAACCGACTGACATTCGAAATGACCTGAGATTGACACTTGACTGTGTAACTGCAGTGTTTAATGTATAATAACTAATAAGTTATATTAATATTAGACTTGATAACTGATTATAACACTACTTAATAATTCATACAACTTGCTCATTACCTTGTCACATAATAAATATATATGTACTTAACTTTTTTTTTCTTTTTCCTTTTGTCATCATTACATAGGAGTCAGACCGTTTTTCACATGTCTTAGCCCCCGTATAGGTAGCATCGTTTATTAATTCAATAATTTATAAAACTATAGTTGATCTCATGTGCCGAAGTTTACTCTCCTCAGATATGAGGTATCTGTGTTAACTAGAAACATCATGAGAGCTAACCTTTCCAGTTGGCAAAGCCACGAGGGGATAGCTGGGAGGTGCCCCACCCTATGCCCTCGCATAATTTAATGTACAGCTGTTATTATTATTGAAACGAAATTTTTTATGGCATGATGCGGGGCTAGTCGGGAAAAATATTACACTGACTATATTACACTGATGTGGTATACTTAAATAAGCTTCAAATCATACGTGTGGTCGTGTGGATAAAATATATTTGTTAGTGAAAAAAAGCAACAGGTATGTTTTGAAGTGTAATACAAAATAGCTTATCCTATGTCCATACCTGATGTTCGAATAACCCAACTAAAAATATATGTAATACATATGTGTATCTTTTTATAGTGACAACGAACAATGAAGCACCGACGCCACTAATTCTGGGTGCGTTTGGCTTTTGGAACGTTCGTAAATGTGTATAATATGAAACGTTCGTATATTCAATATTATACCCCATCCCCTGCATATGATCACAAAGGCAGTGGACTATTTTGTCTTTTTTATTTCTACATGTAAAACAAATATTTTATATTACAGTATACCTATAATACCTGTCTATGTGTTCATGACTATATAGGACTTATTATAGGTACATCGTACACGAGCTGCGTGCTTGACATCGATATCCTCGAGGATAAAAAAAAATAGAGACAATATTTGTAAATAAGTTATAAAATCGTGGTTACCTTACATTTTCCGAGAAGAGAAAAATGTCGAAAAAAAAGTGAATAGACGCCTTTTTGTTGTTACTGTAGGTGTGAAATACCGGAATGCGACTTGTCGAACCCGGAATACGAGCCTAAATGGTTGCGGTTCACGATACCTTACAGAAACGAAACGAAACAGCCTCGCAAGTGTTTGCGGTATGCTGCGTTGTCTGGTCCGCTGATAAACGGTACGCGGTGCTCGTCCGGTGGATTTAACGAAAGCTTGACTGAGTGGTGCCGCGACCGTTGGGTGTTCGAAGACTTCGAAAACACCATCGGCACTGAGGTATGTATAAACGATTCCAAAACATTATTATGGTAAACCGCACGTGTAGCGCGTGACAGTGAAAATTAGTTTTCCAGGGGGACATTTTTTAGTTTTTATAATTTCGAAAAGCTAACAAATAACAATATTATCCGTTATACAGTCAAATATTGTGTAATACCTACGGCAAAAACTAATTTGTAGTATGTATATAATGATATAATCAAAACTAATTCGACATAATATTATATTAAAATACATTGATAATATTTTATAAACTTAAATTTTAATTTAAAATAACTTTAATCTTATAAACAGTTAAGCTGTATATAATATGCGAATGCATATAAAAACAATTTTAACAAATAATATATTATATATTTATATCATAATCATTTTTTGATACAGTCTTAATTTTTGGAATTTATTTCGAAACAATACCTTTTCTGAATATATTATGAATTTATTAGCAAAATATTATTAAATATATATAAAATTGTTTTTACTATATATAAATATTAAATCTTAAATGTTGACCTAGTTCTTCAACAAATGCCTACACGTACAGTAATATTAAAAACGGCTGTAATATATATCATTACGAAAACCACCCTGTACCGATTATTATTAATATACGTAGGTATATTGTTATTAAACAGTTTGGACTCATGTGTGAGGATAACAAATGGAAGCTGTCAATGGTGGGAACGATCAACAATTTCGGTCAATTTATCGGAATACCAGTGTCAGGGATCGTTGCTGACAGGTGAGTGCAATTTATAAATCTGAAATATTTACAACATCGACTATCTCAGTTTTTGCAACTTTACAGGATAACAAAACAATTTGATTTTCTGCTATTGATAGCGTCATCTATTTTAAGTTAAATATAATTTACCAAAATGTGTGATTATAAGTGTAGCTCCTAGGAGGTTACATCCGCATGTGTTGTCTCCATCTTACAAATTATACAAACCTAGCCAGTATATGTATCCGAAGACCTGTTGATATATATATATATATATATATATGTAATATGTCTAATGCCAGTTATTATATGTACCCACATGGCCACATCGTACACAGATACACTTTAATTTAAATATACAATTATATGAATATAAACCATACACATTAATTTATTACGCAGAATGTAGATACATAAAACAACTTATTATTATACTACCTATTCTATATCAATGTCATATAGCACCTTAGCACTCATTACCCTGAATTATTATTATTATTGCAGGCCTTCTATATCTTTTAACGTAAGACAATAAAAAAAATTTTAAAAAATGAGAATCCTACCAAATACTCCGTATTAATGTATTATAATATGTATCCAACAACACGGCAGGGTCGCACTAAGTATAAAAAGAAAAGAGCGCCTTTAAAATGCACACGTAGGCAAAACACAAGCAAAGACTGCAAGATTATAATAATTACAGGAACCAACACGATTCACGAAAAAAATAAACCATAAGTAAGATTTGTTGAGAACTTAAACATGAATCATATATTACAATTTATAGCATCCTTATATATCGTCGTGTAAGATTGGGGAAAACAAGGTGGCTCACTCGGCACAGTTACAGGTACACCTACCTATAACCTATACCTACGCATACAAGGGAACACTTATGCGTACAAAGCATTAGAGGAATGTTTTTTGGGTATAAGTATAACATAAACTTATCGACTTATCGTAGTATAAGATGTACGGGGTAACGTTGCGTTTTTTCGATTGCATCGAGTCAGCACGTGGTTAATCAGTCCTGGTATTTCAATGATAGTTATAATCTTTTGGGACCGTAGAGTGCGGACGGAGTTTTAAGCAAACGACACGTTTTCCAAAGAAACGAACACCGAAGGTTACACACTTATACACATTATCGTTAAGGAATGACTCGATTGTTGTATAGATGAGACACTTTTATCAGCTATATATGTATAATAGCAACGTGTTTTTTTTTTTAAATTGATATTCTTTTATACGTTTCATTACATTAAAATTCCACTGTAACATGATGTACCTTTTATACCTATTATACGGGTAATTACTGCAGATAGTGTTTTAAAAGCAAACATTAATTTTCGTGAGAAAAATGTCTATAGGTATTTTTGGAAATATTTATACATATTATTTTAAGTCATTACAAAATAATATTTTTGAAAGAACATTATATTTTTATTCTTGTTTATCGTTACCATTTGTTAATTTTTTTTTCTACTTTAAGGACAGTAATCATTTTTTTTTCAAATTTTTAAGTAGAATATTTTCCTGAGAATTTCAATGTATAAAAATCAAAAAAAAAAAATATAGAACGATGAAAACATCAAAAAATATTGATTTGTATTGACTTCAAATTATAAAAAAAAAATTTCCAAAAACCGTAGCACTTTTCAAGACGATGAGTGTTCAAATAATCAACTTGTATAGCTCAAGATACTCTGCTTTTTTATTCCTTCGATATATTATTATAATTTATAGGTACCGTCAAGAAGTGACCGGCCGGCGTCATATTATGATAGTAATGAAAAAAAACCTTATTTAAAGAGGAATCTAACTTTTTAGTTTTATTTTTTTAGTGATTGACAGGTAAATTTTTTTTAAACAAAATCGAACTTATTGCACATATTTTGCTGATGTATCTTCAAAACTTTTCAACTTTTTATCGTAACTTTTTCAATTTTAAAGCTATTTTATTGTGCTATCAAGTAATATAGGTAGGTATTCACAATCAAACCAGAAATATACAATTTTTATTGAATTAAAAGAGCAACCATTTTGGGAAAAATCAATAATAGCATTTTTAAAAGGAAATTGCGTATAATTCCAAATAACGCCGTCAATTTACTACAGTTTTTATTTTTATTTTATTATTCTACTTTTTTAAATTTAATAAAATAAAATGTATTAATTTCTGGTTTGATTGTATATGATAGCACAGTAAAATAGCTTTAAATAAAGTTGAAAATATTTGAAAATACATCAGCAAACGTACGGTAAGTTGGGTTTGTTTGAAAAAAAATTTAATTGCTCATACCTAAAAAAATAAAAATTTAGACACATCCTTTGAAAGGATTTTATTGTAACTTGAGCCCGTCTTAAGGTATACTATCATATGATAGCCGATCGGCCATTTCTTCGCGGGACACATTGTATAATATGGTTAAAAACTTAAAAATATTCAAATACCAAAATACTTATACGAATTTTTGTAGGTACGGCCGAAAGTTCACTATGGTGTTTTGTGCAGCTACATCAGCCGCATTATGTATAATCCAGTCATTTTCAAACAGTTATTCGATGTTCATGGTTTTAGAATTTGTGTCTTCGATCGTGTCCAGTGGAATTTACACGGTTACTTTTATATTAGGTATGTAAATCGCCAGAAGCTCAAATTTTATAGCCATACAAGTTAGTCACTGATATTGTGCATTGTATTAAATATTATATCTATTATATTTCTACTTTTAAAACGGCCTGCATGCAGTTCCGCGACCTTTTAGAATACTCTGAATGTCTGAATATACAAGAATGCGACGTGTGATTTAAAATGGAGTGTTTCTTTAATTACAGCAATGGAGCTGTTTTTGCCACACCAGCGTGTACTCTATTATTCGATTCTAGAATGTTTCCTCCCGGTTGGCTCTATTTTAGTGGCTTATATCGCCAGCCTAGTGCAAGACTGGAGGATTTTATTGCGGCTAGTCAACATCCCGGGATTGCTGTTCTTGTCATATTTTTGGTTATTATCTTGAAATTAATTTTTTTTTTTTTAGCAGCGACTAAAAGATAAATATTTTTTTTTTACACAGGCTAACAGAAGAATCGATGAGGTGGCTGGAAAGTCAAGGCAAACACGACAAAGTGATCAACGCGCTCAAGAAAATAGCGGCTGTCAATAAAAAGCCTTTTCCCGACCTGCCTACAAACACCCAAGTACAGGTGATATTATTTAAAACTAACTTAATAATATTTTATTATAATTTTACACTCGTCTAAGCGTGTTCGCTGTACAGTTAATGGTATTTCATTTTTAATCACTAAACGAATCGAACGTATAATATATGCATTACCAATGTATTAACTTTCGCAGAGCTTGGAAAGTTTGGACGATAAAGACGCAAATTTCAGCAGTATTATAAAAGACATAATCCGTTCTTCGACAATATTCTGGAGGATGATCAGGTGTTCGTACGTGTGGTAAGATCGATATTTACTGGTTTTTTCATTACATGGGCCCATTTATACACACGCACGTCGCACAGTGCACACTTAATACGCATTTAAAGCATACGTGTAACCAAATAAGAACAGTGTTCGCCTTATCATCGGTAGGTATTTGCACAAACATCAAGATTTTTTTCTTACCCACCGACTGCCCATTTAGTCGCGTTAACCGAAATCTTTATATAAAAATAATGAATATCCTTCGATTTGTCGTGAAGAACCACGTACAGAATTGAAGCTTGAAAACTTTTAAGTTAGCAAGTGAATGAAAAAATAGGTTTTGTGCCCGTATGCATAATAAATTAATGCGTCACGTAAGACACGTCCTGGAACGAGTCCTTTTTTAAAAAATTAAATTAAATTAACAAATTCTTTTTTTTTTGTGGAACTTGGATGAAAATCACAGTTCCTTTAGATTTTAAAAACATATTTTAAATCGTAATATAGTTCTTTTTTCTACGTGGTAATAACTAATAAGACGTAAGAAAGTAAGAAAGTATTTTTAGTTGGTTAACGTTTAACCCATTGTTCGTATTGTTATTTATCTAACATTAAAAATAAAAAGGTATTGTTCTAAACAGCATTTTTTTTAAATAACTTGGTTAAAAAAAGGAACGAAGATTGGAACGAGTTATTTTTTTTAGAAGAACTGGAACTGGAGCGAGGTCCTTCTTTAAATAAGGAACAAGGATCTGGAACGAGTTCTTATGTTAAGAAATTAACGGGGAACTGAACGAGATTCTTTTAGAAAAGAACTTTCCCAACACAGCGTATTAGTATCTCTACATAGATACTTTTATGCAGCAAATGGAATTGCTTAACTGTGTGATAAACTGATAACATACCTGTATGTTTATTACCGCCGTGTCACTATAATAATCTTTAAATAAAATAATAATGTTCATTATATAGGTATACGGAGTGAATGAGTGATCCATTTAACGTGAGACACTCTTATTATTTCAGAAAATACCTAATATAATGGGTTTTTTTTTTAAAAAGTTATTCGCTCTTTTCAATGACAATAACGTTATTACCTATTTTTTATTATTATTTTATTTTAGTATTCAAGTGGTATAAATTGGGGGTGAGCATGCTTGGTGAATTGCCTGTGTATAATTACTACGAGCTATACTATACAGACGCGTGCCGTTTAACTCACTGAAAACTGTGTATTTTTTTGCCTCTGCCAGGATAGCGGTGACCCTGGTATACTACGGCCTGACCATAAGCTCGACGGACATCGCCGGAGACAAGTATCTGAACTTCTCGTTAGTGTTGTTAGTCGAGATCCCAGCTTGTCTGTTGAACTGGCTGATAATGGAAGGCATGTCGAGAAAAATGTCGCTCTGTTGCATGTTTGTGTTCAGCGGCGTCACTTGCGTCACGTACAACCTGATGCCCACTGGTAAGTACCGAGGGTAATGACTCGTAATAACTAATGCGCAATATATTAGAATACAAGTTTTTGCACATTAAACGGACGTCCTGCGATGGATACAGTAGGTATATCACTGTACAGAGTGATTCATTTAACGCGCAAGCCACTAATTATTTAAAAACACTAAAGTTTTTAAAAATATTTATTTTAGATAATTTTAAGACGCTAAAACGTTTTTTTTTTACTCTTTTGAATAACAACGTAGGTACATTTTTATTTCATATTCCAAAGCAGAATATTATTCCTGAGTATTTCGTTGTATACAAATCAAATTTCGAATATATTATTGTAATATTCATTAGTTATAATACATTTATCCGTTTGGTTTTCTATTTGTATACACTTTTTCAATGGAACGTTTATCATGTGACTACCCACTTTTATAAATCCAATTAGATGGCAAAATTAGCGCAAATAATTATTAATGCTCGATTTGTTTTTTTGTTGGGGGGGCTAAGTAATAAAAAGTACTTATTTACATCGTTAAATGAATACAATAGTACACACTAATATATTACCATAAAGTATAAATATATATTGAGGTTGTGGTTAAAACCTTGAAAGTAAGTATATAATAAGTTATGAAATGTTGTTGATTTGTGGAAATATTTTTGATGGCATAAAATCGAGATGAGGGCTAAGCCCCGTACGTTTAAATTTGGTATTTTAATTAGGTAGGAACGCAAAATTTGAACGTGTCATTAGAATTCAGAGTAACTTTATATTATTTCATTTCCAAGTCAAGCAATGTTTATTATTTATCAATAATATTATTAAACACCGAGTACCTATATAATAAAAAAATTCAATAAATAATGATAAGTAATAACGAATAATATTATCACGTTGCTTTTTCTCTATAAACAGAATACTACTTGATAAAGCTGTCGCTGTACTTGGTCAGCAAACTAGCGATATCCATCGCGTTTTGCATAATTTACATGCTGACAGCGGAGATATTCCCCACCAGGATGAGGGCCACCATGATGTCCATGTGCTCCATGCTCGGTCGGATAGGGTCCATGTTGTCGCCTCAGGCCACGCTCTTGGTAAGTGTAATTAGTGACGTCACGAACGTTTTATACATAAGGGCAAATATAGAAGCTACTCACCCCCACGGACTGTAGTGGGGAAAAAAATCCCTAGTAGCATTATACCGGGGATTGACTAAGTATAATATGAACAAGTTATAATAATTATTTTATAAATTATAATATATTTGAAATAAAATTAATATCGTACCTATTTTACGTTAAAAATTGTTATTTCGTAAAAAATGTATGCCACGAAGCTTATAATAATAATAATTGTGTAAAAATTAAAACGTAAATAATATAATATGACGTGATGGTAGTGCGTATTATATTATGCGGTGATTATATTATTACCTAGTATTTACTTAGAGCGTAAATGATATAATGATTCTTATAAATTATTTATAATATTTAATCAATCCCCATTGAGCTTTTGATGACATTTTAAGTTTCAATTTTTTTTTTCTACGAATGGCGTTAAAATTTTATTCGCTGGGTCATTTAGCTAATACATATTATTACCTACCCTGTTACGATGGAAAAATATCGAAAATACAGTCACAATATATGTTTAAAAGCGTTCAAAGTTTGAATTTTGACAAAATCACGAAAACGTGCGAGCACCGAATGCGTCTCGTCGTGACGCGGAAAATCATCGACAACTCTCGTTTTCATTCGCTTTCATTAATACTCTGTGCTCATTTATACGATGGGTTCACCCCAGGCGCGGATACAAGGGGGGGGCCATGGGAGCAATGGCCCCCCCCAAATCTAAAAAAAAAAGATGAGGCCGGTGAAAAAAATAATAACATTGATAATAGAATAGATCGAATTATTCTTATTAAATATTTCTATATTAGATTATAATGTTTCGTAAAATTGATATTGGTTTTCGGACAATTCTATTTATAGAATTTTCTGTAATTTTTAATTGCGTCGGCGACCGGCGTGGCGTAGGCTAACGATGCCGTGACCGTTCACGTTATCGTCATAATCGCAGATATTACATATTTACATTTACCATTAATTCTATTGCTACAATATTGATATTATATAACATTATCATTTTTCTACGGGATGCGGACAGCGTTCAACGCACTGCGATAAAACGATTTATATTGAAAAAAATATTGACGATTATACGAAGCGTGAACTTTTAATAAATCATTGGGTACCACCGACAAACTACGTATTTCCTTTCTCTGAGCATAATACAAATGGTAAAATAATACGTCGATTTATTGGGCAACAACATTTAAATAATTTTAAATGGTTAGTATTTTCACCATCAAAACAAGGTTTATATTGCAAATATTGTCCTTTGTTTAATGTACAAAAACAAGGTGGTTTTCAACGTAATGTGGAATTAAAAAAATTAGTTACTCAACCATTGACAAAGTTTGCAAAATTACAAGGAAATACAGGGGATTTACATGGACATGAAATCACTAGATATCACAATGAGTCTGTCCAAATGGCTGAACTTTTTTTACAAAATTACAATAATCCCAAACTTCAAATACACAGTTTATTAAATACGAAACGAATGCAAGAAATAAAAGAAAATCAAGAAAGACTTATTCCAATCATAGAAAGTATAATATTTTTGGGAAGACAAAACATCCCCTTTCGAGGGCATAGAGATGATGGCCAACTAGATTTACCGTCTACCATTGAAGATGGAGGAAGTTCAATAAACGAAGGTAATTTTAGAGAGCTTTTAAAATTTCGAGTCAAAGCCGGAGATTCTACGCTTGAAAATCATCTGAAAAATTCTTCTTCGAAGGCAACATACATTAGTAAAACAATACAGAACGAACGTTAAGATCAACAATGTGTGAAACACGCTTGACTGGACTTGCATTATTGAACATCCACAGGGACATAGACATCGATGTTGAAAAATTAATTGAACGTTTCTCCAAAAGCAAAAGAAAAATTCCATTTGCAATTTGAAAACCATAAGTCATAAGAAAATTAAGCTGATTTTAAGTTGTACATTTGATTAGAATTTATCGTAAATTATTAACTATAGTAAAATTTAGCTTAAATGTAGAAAAAGTAATGTAATTAAATATTTTATAACCAATAAAGTAAGATTGAGTAACATAAATATTTAAAAAAAAAAATTTTTGTTTAATTATTTTTTGGTCTTTTTAAAGGTAACCTAATCATCATTATCCTGATGTCAAACAATATTAACATATTAAACCCTGATAAACTTTATTAATAATATTTGATGGCCCCCCCATAAATCTGTTCTGGATCCGCGCCTGGTTCACCCAAGTCGCCCTCCAACCCCCCCGCCAACAACACCAACTTTTGCAACGGTCGAGTGGTTTTTAGCGGTCAACTGATATGAATATAATAATAATATATGGTTTTCAGACGGAGTACTTTGGCGTGTACGCGACAATGCTCGTGTTCGGCATGACCGCACTCGCAGCCGCGGCCATCACCATGACTTTGCCGGAAAGTAAAAACATCAAATTGCCCGACACCATCGACGAAGCCAAAGAGATCGGCACCGATGTCAAACCGAAAAACATCGGAAAAAACTCGCCGTAGAGTTCCTATAACACTGACTACTTAATATGTAATAATTATAATGCCTATATGAGGTCGATGTCGGCATAATTATAGGTTTATATATATGCGCGCCCTAGAAATTATTACGCACTGACTTCTATTTTGCGCGTCTATCATCGCATTGATTGGTGGCCCCACGCGTTCGAATAGGGGGGGGGGGTTGTTCGCTATTGATTACACCCTCGGTTGACTTAATTTTAATGAAACGACTTAGTGTAATTGTGTGTACGTAGGTAATTATAAGTATTTATCGCGCTGTTCTGTATGTTTAGCGGCTCTCCAATAACCTTTGACAGGCCCTCCTCCTCCTCTTTCGGATTTTCTACAGACAATTGTTGTTGAAAATTAATATTGTAAATACCGCACCTCATATTATATTTTAACTGTTTAAACCTGATGTACAAATACCTGATAGAGCTACGGTTCGACTCTTCGTGCTCTTAAAATGCTAAATGAATACTTTGATATACCAGATACCTATACGAATTTTTAAGTATGCAGAGACGTGTTCATTACTTCATTAGTGTCTTTATATAAACGAAATACTTTTAGTATTATGACCAATGCTGCTTCAAACAATTAAATAAACTGTAAATTCTACACAATATTTAGTTTTACAATATTTCAGTTCTCATATTTTTTAGTTACAATGTAGAAAAAATGTACAACTTGTTTGTAGATATTTTATTAACCATTACCCCATTACGCCTACAATAATTAAATATTCTATATAATAAACATAATAAAGTTCATACAAATTTTAAGATTGTAGATATACATATAAGACATGGATCTACCTTCTACCTATACTGAACTATAATAATAATTATTAATTATTAATTAAAAAACAATAGTTGTATTTATACCTAATACATGTTTTAATTAGCTCAATATTATCCCAATGCTATAAAGTAAATATGAATTTATTGATATTAGAAATGCAAGCAACTCCAACATATTTTTTATTTTAAAATTTGACAAAAAGTGATATAAAATTATGTTTAAATTTAAATTTTTTCATATTATATAATATTTGATTGGCTTTAAGTTTCAAGGACACTTGTAAAATATTATTATAAGTTGTAACATGTTAACCAATTTTTTTTTTGTTAAGTATATATTTTTTTTTTGAAATTTGTAAATAGCTAATAAAATAAGAAAAAATTGAAAATTAAATACAAATGTTTTATAAATTATTTATCTTATGATTTACAACAGGCACTGGCAACCCGCGGCCCTCGGAACTTTTTTCTGCGGCCCTGCAAATATATTCCATGGTGCTTAAGATTTTAATTTTATATCTTAAATTGTAATAAATAAAATCAAATCATGACTATTAAAGTGAGATAAGGTATGAGGGAGAACGTAATCTAGGTCATAATTTAATCGTATATAATGTATATATCGTCGATTACTAAATTATTAGTATTATATCATATGTACAGTTTTTTTTTATTAATGCAGCCCTTGATGAAATATTGAAAAACCGATCAAGGCCGTATCCAAAAATTTTTACGGGGGGAGTCCAGACCCTTTGGAACGGGGATACCGGACACCCCCTTGTAGCTAATAACATTTAACAGCAAACAACTTTCAAATACCAAAATGTTCCATTAATTATAAGTATTTCATTACTTATTTTGGGTGAAAATATTCATCTTGAGAAACCAAGATTCGTTATGCATTCAATCAATGAATGTTACCGTTAAAGGATGAACCTTAAGGGGATTTGATCCAGCGTATTTATTTCATGATTTAGACCTAAAAGCCTGACAAAAATACGCCTACTTAGAATTATCAGATTTCAATTCTGTAAAAAGATTCGAGTTCATTGACAATTTTCCTAGGTTATTGTGGGAATCAATTTTCGATATTTTTTTTAGAATTCACGTTAAATCATACTTCGATTTCTCAATTTTTTGAAAATTGTTTGTGTCTTTCTTTAAAAAGTTAAACAGTTATTCAAAAATCGACTCCCACAATAACCTAGAAAAAAGAACGATGAATTCAAATATGTTTACAGAACTAAAATCCGATCATTCTAAGTTATCGTATTTTTGTCAGGCTTTTAGGTCTCAATTGATTGAAATTAGTTTCTCGTTGGAACAAATATTTTATTATGTGACATGTGCATGCGGGTGCGAACCACTGATTCCGAACGTATCTACGCACACTAATGATCATTTACTTCGCACACAAACACACTGCGAAACGACTATAATGCATCGAATTGCCTATACACGACCCCTTATTAAATCACCGGATCGAATCCCCTTAAAAATAATCACAAAGGGTAGGTTATGTTAGGAATTCACATTACAAGGAATCAAATGCACACCACCACTTGTTTGGAAACAAGTCAACTTTTGAAACTATGATCGGGAGTATATAAGTTACTTTATATGCCCAATATAAAATGTAAAAATACTAATTAAACTATAAAATAGGCCATCAATCATCATTATTTATAAAGTATTTTAATATATAAATAAAATTTTATATAGTTGTTTAAAATATATTATAGTTTTACCTAAAATAAAACTATTTTATTATGGATTTTATTATTTTAATTAATTCAACTATTTCAGAGGTTCTGTTAATGAATGAATTGTCTCCTCTTCACGTCATTTATGTTTGTACATACTTTTATATGTTATCCTTATAACTCATTGTTTTTATTTTGTAAACAGATTGAATACATTTAAGAAAAAAAAATCTAATTAAACTTGACAACAAACATTTGTTTGTATGTGCAACTGTTACAGCTCAATTATTCACAGCAATGACGACTATCAAAGAAAATTAATAGCTTCACTTTTTGTAAATATCTTACAAGAAAAAAATAATAAATGATTGTGTTCTAAAAAGTAGAAATAAAATAAAAGGTAATTAAATAATTAAGAATAATTTTAATTTATTTATTAGAATTTTACAAAATTGATTCTTATCATTACAAGTAAAAAAAATACTTAGTATTATTATTAAGAGTTAGTAACTTGAATTAGTGGGTAAAATATAAAATACCAAGCGTGTACAACAAAAAATTACGCGTCATCATCATTATCAGGTGCACGTCCACCAGGTGCTTTTGGACCGCCAGCTCGTTTGGCCATTATGATCTGATCAACTTTCAGTATTGTGCATGCAGCTTGTGTGGCATACTGCAAGCCCCAAAACTTGGATAAGTAAGAATCAACAATACCAGATTTGGTGACATCTATTAATGACGATCCTTTAGGCTAAGGAAATTATAAAAATTACAAATTAATTAAGAAAAACAAAATACACAAACAATAAACGTACTTCAATGTTAAAACCAGCATTTTTATTTCCCTTGCTATGTTGGGAATAAAGTTCAGCAAGAGTTTCATTAGATTTCACACCAGTATTGTCTGCTAAAATTTTAACGAAACCTTCAAGAGCAACTGCAAACCTTTTGGCACCATATTGTTCTAATCCGGGCAGTGTGTCGGCATATAAGCCTACTTGGTAGGCAAGTTCCATTTCTATGGCTCCAGCACCAGGTAATAATTTTCCATCCTAAAATGAGATTGAGAACATTTATTTATTTATTTATTCAAAATATCAGAACAAAACTATTTATATTTTATTCTCAGCATACTCTGGAAATGCCTTTGAATGTATTTACACCATCATCAATTGCTCTTTCTATATCATCCATGTAGTTATCAGTGGCACCACGTACTACAATTGTTGACATGCGAGAGTCTTTACCATCCAAACGGAATACTACTAATGAAGTGTCTCCAAGTTCATCTACATATACACAGTCAGCATAACCAAGTTCTTCTTTGTTTGGAGGGGTCTAAAATTAAGCAATTAATAATTATGTTAAATTTTTAGTTAAAATCAAAAAAATTTTATTTTAGATGAATCATTTTTAATTGATTTTGAAATATTGATAGATTTTACAAATAACAAAAATATTCAAATATAAGAATATAGTGAAAATATCAAACAACTTTTACAACTGGGTCGATTTTTATTCCTTTAAATCATATGGAAAACTTATTTTTCTTTAAATAACAGTTTGAAATAGTTTCCCAAACGTTCCTTCCCTATTCTTATTTTTCTTTTAAAATCATACACCTGCTTAATACATTCAATACCGTGAAGCAGTTGGGAGTCTGTTGTACTTGAGTCAAATAACGAGACCCGACTTAAAATTTGCTGCTAATTTGTTCAGCCGTTAACTAGAAAAACCTCAAAAAGTGCACTGGAATGCAGAAAAACGCATTTTTAGATACTTAAAAGCCACACCAAATTTTGGACTTTAGTATAGTAGTGATATACGTAATTATCAATGTAATTGGTATAGTGATGCAGATTATGCTGGTGACGTAACGACAAAAGAGATCTACATTAGGATCAGCGCTCTGTGTTGGCAAGGAATTAGTTGCATGGAGCTCACAGAAACAGAAATCAGTGTCACTTTCTACTACAGAGACAGAGTATATTGCACTAAGCCAAGCCGTACAGGAGCTTACCTGGTTAATGCTATTAATGAGTGATCTTCTGAAAACATAGGAAGTTAAACCTATTATATATGCAGATAACCAGAGTGCAATACGTCTTGTAAAAAACCCTAAGGAACACTTCGAAGCAATCGAAAAAAAAATCCTACAGACGTAATAAAAAAAACCTTAATACAGGAAAATCTATTAGTAAGTAGACAAAAGATGGGGTATGTGTAACAAAGTGGAAAGATCGACTTGAAGTTTTGACTATAAGTTCTGAATACAATGGCGAATTTATCGAAACAACCAATAGATGTGGTAATGTAAAACTTAAGCCTAACCAAATTGTCCAATATAATAAATTTATGTCCGGTGTTGATCAACAAAATCAGATGATGGCATATTATCCGTGTGAACGTAAGATATTACGTTGGTACAAAGAAATTGGCATTCATTTTTTACAAATATGTATGCTAAATTCATACTTGCTTTATACAAAAAATATAAAAAAAATAGGTTATTATGATTATCGTTTATCTGTCATCAACAGTTTACTTTCATTGAAATCAAAAACTCCATCAAAAGTTCCAATATTAATCAGACCCGAACATTTACCTACAAAAGTGGAGAAAAATAGAAAAAACAGACTTATTCAAAAAAGATGTCAAGAGTGCACTAAAAAAGGAACAAGAATAGAAACAATTTATTTTTGTTCACAATGTGACGGACAACCAGGACTATGTTTGGAACCATGCTTTTTGAACTATCATAAACAACAGTGAAGAATTGTTTATAATTATTTTAATTTCAGTATAGTATAGGTAATACTGTATTAAATTTATTTGTTATTTACTTTTATCTTATAAGATTTAAATATTGCATTGTTATTTTAATATTTCATTCAAGATGAATGTTAAAAAAAATTAAAATTAAAAAACAATCAACTATATTATCTGTATTTTATGAATCAACATTATTTTAATTTTTAACCATTACTCTATAATTATTTTCAATTAGTTACATAGGATAAGTATGTTGCAGCACCATACAAAGTTTTGGCGTGGCGACATGGGCACTGCACCGTAAACACTAGCAGAGCTCAACATGTTAAAATAAAGTTATAGTATTTGCACATAAATACTTACAAGTCTAGGTAAAGCAGTAGCTGAAATGGATTTACACAATCGTCTCAAGTCAAATTTGCTCATTAATCGAACACCCATAATTTTGTACTTGTTTAAATAATGTAAGGCCATGTCACCAAATTTACCACCAGCAACAATCACAGTGACACCTGCATCAGCAATTGCTTTAATTTGTTCTTCGAGCACCATTTCTTCACCACGGCTGAAGTTTTGCAATTCTTCTGCAGATTTGATTAAAACTGTTCCCTAAAATTAATAAATTAAGTATTAAATTATATAAGAACTTGTATTTCTTTATAATACAGTTATAGAGTGGAACATACTTTTGTTTCAGTTGTGGTAATGTCAATGGGACATGTATACACAGCAATCTTAGCATCAGTCTGTTTAGTAATATCACCTTCATTTGTACGTTTGAATACCATACCGTTAACAACAGTAGAATTGTATAAATTTGATCCCTACACAAAAAATTAATAACATCAATTAAAGTATAATTATATTATAAATTATAATTACCAAAATTTTGCACACTCTAACATTGTCAACATTGAATGTTGTCTTCTCTGGAAGAATAGAAGCTGAAAACATTGTTTATAATAAAATTTTAATATAACTTAGAAATTAAATCATGAAATTAAATATAATGCTTACTGCAAGCTTTTAACACAAGATCTGTGACAAACTGTTCCTGGCCATATTGCTTGCTCATAATGGATGATTTTACAGCTTGTGTTATTACTAATTGTTCAGCGTTATTCTTGATGTCTTTAATTTCATGACAAGTCAAGGTAGGCAGTAACTCAAGAGTCTTTTCAAGAGCTAGTTGGAAACCTTCACACACTTCAACTGGAGTTAATCCCTTTAAAAATCACAAATTAAATAATTATAAAAGATTGATTAATAAAAGTCAAGAACATACGGATACTGACCATTTTCAATAAGTGTTCGGCTTGTTCTAACAATGCCCCAGCAAAAATGATAACAAAGTTGGTTCCATCACCTACTTCTTGCTCTTGCATCTCAGACGCAAATACAATGATTTTAGCAGCTGGGTGTTCAATCTAAACAAATATACCTATCATGAAAAAAAAAAAATGATACATTTTACGTGAACACTTACATCAAGCTCCTTAACAATTGTGGCAGCATCGTTGGTGATGAAAATCTTGTCAATGTGATTTATGACTATTTTGTTCATGCCATTTGGGCCGTATGCGGTTTTAACGGTGTCAGAGAATTGTTTACAGGCGGTAATGTTTCGGTACACTGCTTCTTCAAGACCGGAAAGATGCTAAAATACATTAACGCAATCCAAAGGTGATCAATAAGTACATTTGAAGTATATGGTCATTAGTCATGTTCGCAGGACACTCACCGTAGCACCATCCTTTAACATTTGAGCAAAACCCGGAGCTTTTGGAACGTGTAAAGCCATTTTAATAGGTTATTCTTCTACTATGAACGTTAATAAATAATATCAGTTTTTAGTTTATACTTTAGTTTATATTATTGCTTGTAGTTTGTAAATTTATTTCAACAATTTTTGCCCACAGATTCGGAATACATCGTGTTTTTGAATGTTTTTATTCGTGATTTCAATTATCTCCTTTACCGGATACATGGTTGAGGGGGTGGGTCACGGTATACTGCAACCATAGAACAATACTGCAACCTCACTTCTCGACTACAGAAGAAAAGATGCAATACGAATAATATTATAATATCTACTACTAATAATAATAATAATATCTCCTTATATTTATTATTTTCTAATTTCTACGATGCTTTATGTAAAACGTGCCACACAATTTTTTTATTTTGTGTCTGTCATCACCTTTTAGGACAGTAAAAGTGCTTGGATTTTCTTCAACAGTATTTTTTCTGATAGGAAAGTGCAGCTAGTTAGTACTTTGAGGGGTCAAAAGTAAAATTTTTCCAGTAGTTTTCAAAAGCGACGTGAAAAACAAAAGAAAAATTAAGGAATAACGGGAATTTTTACGCAAAATCAATTTTTTGCTAAATTGATTTTGGTTTTTGGTGTAACTCTAAAACAAATGACCGCAGATACATGACTTTTTTACTGAATATTTATATTAGCATTTTCTATACACCATGCCTATTTTGACTTATTTTGAGCTGTTTAGGCCGTTTAGGGACATTCCAGTTTCCAATTTTTTTTAGTTTTTTATTCTATAAATATCAATCAAATTTTATTTGTTGATTACAAAAGCTTAAGAATTTAATAGAAGGCTCCTAATATATTGTTTCAAAGACAGATGAAATATATTAAAAATCCATTGTCACAATTTTTTTTATAAGCATTTAAAGTTCAAATATTGACTAAATACGTAAAAATTACGAAAATTTCCAAATTATTTTGAGTTAGAAATTCATAAAAAATTTTCTTTTTAAATCTAAGATTTGTAAAATGTAAAACAAGATCTCCTTATTTTGTTGTAATTAAAAAATGAATGACTAAAGATACTTGAAAATTTTACTGAATGTTTATATTAGCCGTTTCTTTACACCATACAATTTTGAAAATAATTTGACTCTTTTTGATCTGTTTACGGACCATTTAAAATTTTAATGTTTTTAGGTTTTTTTTCTATAAATATTACCAATAAATTTGATTTGTTGGGCCAAAAAGCGTGAAAATGTAATACAAGGCTCCTGATATATTGTTACAATAGCAATTAAAAATATTGAAATTACATAGCCAATGTTTTTTTTGTAAGCATTTAAAGTTCGAATTTCGACAAAATTTAATAATTATTTTAAAAATTTATAAAATGTTCAACTTTTATAGCTAAGGATTTAAAATGTAAAACAAGGTTCCTCGTAAATAGGTCAATATATAAATTACTTTATTGACCAATATCATCAAATATACTTAGTAATATACTAATATCATAGGCTGACTGATCGTCTTCGCTCAGAATCGTTTTTCTTATACAATGATATAAGATATTATATCATTGAATTCAAATTTAACACCATCCATTACAGTGACCCACTTGTAACCTACTGTACAGCAGACCGACATCCACTTACCCTGCGGCCTGCACCTTTTTTGAGTTGATAACAATTAACAATCTGTAGAAATAAAATAACAACCAACTAATTATTAATTAGTACACAAGTAATTTTTTTTTTAACAAATTCCATTTTGGAAATGAATAATGTTCATCGAAGTATACGTCATGTTGCCACGTTGGTATAAAACATAATATGTAGGTATACCTTTTTTTTTATATAACATAGCTATATGTACCCATTACCCACATTTTAAAAGTGTTTTTTTTACTATCAAATATAATATATTAATATACTTTATATTTACTTTAAATTATACTTTATAGTTATCTACCTATTAAAATATAAAATTATAAAATTATAGTTACCTATTAAAATTTGAAAAAGGCGGACAAGTGGGCTCAATATACAATCTATATCTTAGACATAATAAGTATATGTGCGATAAGGGAAACAAACAATAGGGCGATATATTTACATTTGAGGAAAGAAGCCACCCACTGCAGATGACACTTTCGTCTTGGTTTAATCATATTATGCGATTTAGTTATATTATGTTAGTATTTATATTATATAATATATATTATATATTTAGTTATATCTTATATGTTATTAATTAAAACAATAAATCTCTGCACCATTTACGTTTAAGTCACCTTGGAGGGCTACCTGGGATTGTGAGGGATGATAAGTTTTTAATGAGTGGATTTGAATGAGAGGATAGAGTTATGCAATTTTTTATAAAAACGTTTAGCTTCGTCATGAATAGTATTTAAGTTACAATCTAAATGTAGGGTATGATTTGATATGTATGGAGGTGCGTTAAATAATTTCATATTTTGGAAAGCTTGAATCTTATTCAGGTTTGACTTTTTAGCATTTCCCCATAGCTGCAATCCGTATGTCCAAATGGGTTTTAATAAGGTTTTATACACAAGAAGTTTGATATTAATAGGGGTGGCTTTGTTATCAATTAAATTCTTAAGCATAATATGTAGCCGATTGTTTAGGGATAGTCTTTTTTCACGTATGTGTAGAGCCCAGGTTAAGCGTTGATCGAGGGTTAGACCAAGGTATTTTACTGAAGATGATGATGGAATAGGGATGCCATAAAGTAGTACCCTTGGCCCTTGGGCAAGGTGCTTGTCTTAGTGTAAAAGTGGTGTGTACTGATTTATTTTGATTTACTTTAAATTTTCATTTGGTATACCATCTTTCCATCATGCCTAGATGGGTTTGCAAATATGCAGAGGCCAAAGATGGGTCATCGTTAATCGAGATAATCACTTTATCATCCGCGTAGTCCGCGACGGAGGTGTTTGGAGACGTGGGTTGATCAGATACAAAAATATTGTAGAGTAATGGAGATAAAACGCCACCTTGAGGTACTCCAGCATTTATACTTGCTATTTCAGACGTGGCAGTTCCATAGCAAATTTTAAAAGAGCGATCAGAGAGATAAGATTTGAAAAGTAGGAAGTAGGATGTAGGTAGGAGGGATTTGATAACGGTATTATAAATAATAAAAGAAACGAATAAAAGTTGAAAACCGTTTTGAAAATTAAAATCAATACCAGAAAAAATAGATAACGGTATAAGTAAACGAAATCAAAACAGAAAAAAAATATATTCATTATTGTAAATTAAAATCAAAACCGATAAAAAAGGAAAACGTTATCAGAAAATCTAATCAAAACTGAAAAAAATGGATAATGCACCCACGGCTTTAGATAGAATGGTTGCACAACGAGTCATTATTTTGTGATCACCAATTGTTCTTATCAGATATCTGTTAAAAGTTACGTTACACCGCTATCTAGTTGCTTACATATACATCATCAAAATTGTAATCTTGTTTTAAATTGTTGTATTCAAAAAGTACTAATTAGTATAATCCGATAATCCATTAGAGGTTCAAACTCATCAAATTATGAAATTAAAAATACAAAGAATAGGCTATCCACTAGGTATGTCAACATTTTTAATTAAAAATATCAAACTATTAAAATTAAGTGTGAATTAACAAAAAACATCAACAAAATAACTGCTATGAAGATCCATCAATGTTATGCATGGTCACTTCACAATACACAATAACCCCGTCTCAAATTTTTTTTTAAATCCACATAATTTGTGCGTAGTGCCTATTGTAAAAATTAATATTTTTTATTCTAAATATAGGTATATATATATACTGTAATATTATACTTTTTTTGGATTTTACTGGTATAGTTATAATATTCCAAATTCTCTAACAAGCAAAAAGAAAAACATATTAAATTAATATAATATAAATTCAAGACTAAATATATTTTTTTGTTTAATTTATTTCTTAATCCATAAGTATTAACACTTAATTTAAAAAAGGTTAATTTAAGTAGTAACTAATTTTGACAATTTTTTTTTTGAACGATTTAATTTTTTACACTCAATATTTTTAGAGTAGCTATGCTGCCTCATCCGCATAGTTATGAATAAAACAAAAATACATAGTGTATTGTGTAATATCATATCATTCATAATACGACAAATTCACATTGTATGTAGCTCAATAAAGAAGTATACTTACGGTGTACTTATTAAGTCCTTCACCAGTCTCCCATGTGCTAATAATATCACATTCTTTAAAATGTGAGGCGCAAACTCTAAAACTTTTTTTTAATTTAATACCTAGAGCATTCTCCCAAAGATTTTTTATTTCATCCTCTTTAGGAACGCCAAAAAGAGTTTTGGACACACAATGTGACTCACGAATTGCACAATAATTAGGCATAATGACCAAAAAGACAATAAACGTAATTGAATATTCACAAAACCAATTATCAAACACAGACTACAGTGATGAGATTTCGTTTACAAAATAATTCATAAACATATTAACATTGTCATATAATTATTATATAGATAGAGCATGAGAGCAGTGATTCGTGATTATAATAATTAAATTACTTATTAACTCAATTACATTATATTTATATTTATTATTGAAAATTCGATAATTTAATATTATGGCGGGAAATGAGAACATTTTAATCACGGCTTTAGATATTTCTATCTAAAGCCGTGGTTCCAATTAACAACCACCGGGAGCGTTAGTAGTAGTTCACTTTTTCGTATGTTAGATAAGAACTCTCGTACACCGCGTTCTAACATTGCGTAGTATAGCCCGATGTGCAACCATTCTATCTAAAGCCGTGAATGCACCTATTAGAATTTGTAATCAAAACCGAAAAAACAGATAATGTTATTAGAAATTGTAATCAAAACCGGAAAAGGCTGATACCGCTATTATAAATTACAAAATGTAGTGTACACTGGATAATAATAAAAATAAAACTTTACTACCAAATTATTAGAAAGGCTCATTGACGCCTTCCGTCTACTAGAACGACTCTGCAT